ACGGGACGTCGCCCCGATTGCCTGCGAGCTTCTCCTCCTGTCTGTACGGTCATTTCTGTACAGCGCGACAGAGAGTCGAGTGGTTATGACGCAATCGTTAGCCTATTTTTACAAAAACTGTTTCTACGGGGCCATAATGTAACATAGAAGGTAATGGAGCCCTTTATACATTGTCATGTTTCTTTAGAAATAAATAATGGACAAATGGAGTCTTTAAACGCCTCAGATGTAAAGTTATTCGCTGTCAAAGTGACGCCAAAATAAATGGGAGTCAATGGAAATGCTAACGCAAGTGAAGTTCTGCTACAACATGGCGGCACCCGGTCGGCTTCAACTTCAGGTCGATGGATTACCCCCTTGGTGCCGCACAAGCCCTGAAAAGTGAAGCCAAAACGTCTCGATCGCCCCCCGGTGGCCGGTCCTAGTATAGGTCATAAGCCCCGCCTCCCCGTGTTATTCAATGGCACATGAGACCAACTAAACAATTAAATTACACTTCAAATATCGTTTTTCCAAAGATGATTTCTGTCATTAACGTTCACGCTGATGTAATTTCAAGAGTTTGTTTTTAAACTAAGTTTGTTTTTAGTTAGTTATTTGATGCGGTGGTGTGACATCATGATTGACAGCTGTGATTGACAGGTTCTCTGAGCGAAGTAGTCACTGAAGCACCAATAGACTTTTTTTCGGGATCTTCGGAGGACTGAGGAGATTGGAGCTTTTAAATTTAATATATACATTTCTATAATTAATTTAAAAGTGCCGGAGCGTGTGCTTGCGATTGATTCAGCGAGAGTGAGAGGGCGGGGCCTTGATTTCACGGCTTTACTTCCGGCTCACGACTGCGCAGGTCTGGTCCCGAGATTGTCAGCGCCATATCGGGACACTGGCGGCTTCACTTCTGACCAATGGAAGAGAGCGAAGGGGGCGTCGTCCATCTTTTACAGTCTATGCTCTGGACTCCCAGAAAAACATCTTGACGATGCTGAATTTCCAACCCGATCTCATGAGAAAAAAACGGAACTATTTTACGAGGTGGCGATTTCGTATAAATTCATATGATGGTTTGTATGAAAATGTTCGATTATTTATTTACTTTATTTTTTTTTTAAGGGGTGGTGAAGCTCCGCCCCTTAACCCAACCGTCAGTTGGCCGTAGGCAGATCGTATGAAAACAGGATTATATGAATTCACCACAAATTCACCAAAACTTAAAATAGTTGAGATTGTGTTGATTTTCTGATGACAGTACATGCACAGTCCCAAAGCTAACAACTATCCTGAGCTGTGATGTCAGTGTTGCTGTCACTGGAAAAACATGATTTTTTTTTTTTTTTTGAGATTTAAAGGGATAGCTCACTTAAAAATGGAAATTCTGTCATCATTTACTCACCCTCAAGTTGTTTGTATGAATTTCTTTCTTCTGCTGATGGTCTCCATTGACTTCCATAGTATTTTTTTGTTTCCTACTATGGAAGTCGGTGGGGTCCGTCAACCGTCTGGTTACCAACATCCTTCAAAATATCTTCTTGTGTTCAGCAGAAGAAAGAAACTCATACAGCTGAGGGTGAGTAAATGGCGACAGAATTTTCCTTTTTAAGTGAACTATCCCTTTAAGTTCTATTTCATCAAAATAAGCTACTACTTAAAGGGATAGTTCACTTTGAAATTAATTTTTGGTATGTTTTAGCTTACCTCAAGGGCATCCAAGATGTAGGTGTCTTTGTTTCCGCAGAAGTTTCAATTTTGATATTTTTAGGTCAAACCGTTCTTGTCTGTCAGTCATATAATGCAGGTCTATGGTCACCACCTCAAAGAGCATGCACAGAGAAGTCCAAATTAAACATGATTTAATGACTCGTAAATGTAAGTACACATTGATGGCCTAAGACACGAAACGAGCGGTTTGTGTGAGAAAACGAACAGTATTTATATCGTTTTTACCTCTTGTAACCACAGCCACGTCCAAGTACTCTGAAGGCGCCGGCGCTTCGGTCTGTGCGTTACAAGAGGTAAAAACGATATAAATACTAGAGCTGGGTTTCGATTCAAATTTCAAGAATCGATTCGATTCCGATTCTCAAGATCTTGAATCGATTATCATTATTCGATTCGATCCGATCCGATTTTCGAGATAAGTGTTTTTGTTTTTTTCCAGCTGTTACCTGAATTACAGGACTGTAGTTATGCAACACATTGATACTATTAGGCTATTATAGACATTTAACTGCTTGTTTTGAACTTCATGCATGTGTATTGAATGTTAAACAAGTTCATAATGATAACAAACAAGACTGTTTATCGTGGTGATGTGTAGCCTACAGAGGCTTCGCACAGACAGTGAATGAGAGAGATCGGCAGAGCGCGTGCGGATTACCTGCGTCTGTCTTTGAAGTCATATGTATTCGTGAAAAAGGTTGCCGTGTCAAAGGAAAGCGAAATATTTGTCGTATCATCCTTTTAACGTTCACGTCACGGGTATTTACCATAAATGCGCGTCAGGAGCAGCGCTGGTCGGCATTCCACAGCGCGAGGAAGCCGCGGGGAAATAAAATCAGCGAGTCACGCATTGAATCAATGCCATATTGGTCTCTAATAAGTTATTATTAACTTATTAATTGCTGCTGCTCTTTTTGCTGCTCAGCATTGCTGCTCAGCTGAGCCTTGAAAAGTGGAACTCAAAGTTAAAAATAATTAACACCTTGTTTTATTACATCTCTTTTAATGAATCAGCTTTTTTGAACGTGTTCGTTGAATGAACGGTTTAATGACTCACTCAAAGCCCGTTGTTGTAACAGTGTGCGCGCTGAGTGAAAGCCTTTCAATGCGCATACAGGGATCTCCCAGTCGCGGCAAGTTAAAGTTCACAGGGAAAATGTAAGCCTATTATTAAATCGATCCTCTGAGTTACGGATCGATCTTTAGAAATTAATATGAAAATCGATTCAGAATTGGTGAATCTATTTTTTCAACACAGCCCTAATAAATACTGTTCGTTTTCTCACACAAACCGCTCGTTTCGTGTCTTAGGCCATCAATGTGTACTTACATTTACGAGTCATTAAATCATGTTTAATTTGGACTTCTCTGTGCATGCTCTTTGAGGTGGTGACCATAGACCTGCATTATATGACTGACAGACAAGAACGGTTTGACCTAAAAATATCAAAATTGAAACTACTGCGGAAACAAAGACACCTACATCTTGGATGCCCTTGAGGTAAGCTAAAACATATCAAAAATTAATTTCAAAGTGAACTATCCCTTTAAGAATGGCTTTTAAAGGCGAAGGATGTTTAAAAAATGGTGTAATTACCATGTTTACCGGCCAAACCTTGACCTCCGGTGTGTACAATCAGGAGAGTTTACAACCATTTAACTTGATATTGGTTATAAAACGCCTGATTTACCTTCGCTGTGAAAAAGACAGAGAACAGCTACTGGCTGTATAAACAAAAATGATATTACAGGTGAAACTCGAAAAATTAGAATATTGTGCAAAAGTTCATTTATTTCAGTAAGTCAACTTAAAAGGTGTAACTAATACATATTATAGACTAATTACATGCAAAGTTACATATGTCAAGCCTTTTATTTGTTATAATTTTGATGATTATGGCTTACAGCTATGTAAACCTTCTCACAATATTCAAATTTTGACTTTGGGGTTTTCATAAGCTGTAAGCCATAATCATTAAAACTACAACAAATAAAGGCTTGAAATATCTCACTTTGCATGTAATGAGTCTATATAATATATTAGTTTCACCTTTTAAGTTGAATTACTGAAATAAATGAACTTTTGCACGATATTCAATTTTTTCGAGTTTCACCTGTATATTACCATAACTTAAATAATACATAAAAACGTCAGGGTATTCCTCATATTTCAGGAAGGTGACTTGTATCTGATATGGGCCAGATTTAAAAGATCAACCTCAAACACAAGGTGGAATTGGTGTTGCGGTGTGAACGTAGCCTTTCAGCACAAGTGTGATCTGAACCCAACGGGCACGTTAAAAATGACTAAAGTATTATGTTTGATAATTTACCGATGACTTCAAGATCCAAGCATGGCTAAAATTCGTTACATTATGAGAAGATTAAGGAAGAGCCCGATATTGCACATTAAAGAGCAGCCTGGAGTCTGTGTGTTTGAGAGCCGAGGCGCTCGGGGGAAATAATCCAACCGAGCAAATGAATCTCAGCTCAAAGGAAAACATCAATCAGGCTATTGCAAGAAGATCCAGATAGAAGGCGGCAAATGTCGGCATGTGTCGTAATGTGCATGTTTACATGTAAGCGCCAGAAAATCAAAGAAAACAGAATATCAAGCATGAGGCTTTCTATGATGATGTGCAGAATGAGAGTCACGGTCTGCGCCTTTTCCTCTTTTTTTTTTCTCTCTTCCAACCCTTTCTTCTCATCCAGTCGATGTGATGAACTAGCTGCAAACGGTTTAAGGGGAACATTCGAAGGACTGAACTTCCTGGGTTTCAGAAAGCACACATCAAGCACTTCAAATTTTGTAAAAGGAATTAAACGCCCTTGATGCTGATAACTGTGGGTGAACGCCAGTCTCTGAGTAGTCGTAATATCTTTGATATTGAAGATTTCAGCGCATTATTGATACCGATAAATATACTTTCATAATTCAGTTCGATTCACCTTTAGTATTGTAAAACGAGCTCCTTTAATCAGGAATCGCTCTTGAAAGTCTCATTCCAGTAAAAGCCAAGGCGGTCGCTCATCTCTCTCCTCTTCCTGTCTTCCTGTTCGGAGAGAGCGAGAGGGAATCCGACAATATACAAAATTTCTTTGTAGCATCCCAGTTCGTGACAGAGTAAAAACAGCTCACCAGTCCTGTGTGAGAGGACGTTATTCAGAGAGAAAGCCAGAAAGAAACAGAGAAGGACTGAGAGAAAGACAGAGAAAGGAAGTTAGGAGCAGAAAAGGGAAGCTAGGGAAAGGAGGAAAAGAGAGGCGGCTCCACTGTGTCTCTGTGATTCCTCCCTCTCTTCTACTCTTCCCATCTCTCTCTCTGTCTGTTTCTCGTGAGCTCTGCGAGTCGAGTCCTCGGTCCAGGCTGAATGGTGACTGGGAGAGGTGGTTTGGCTCTGGATGGACTCTCACAGACGCTCCCTGGTGGGAATCCAGATATAAGGCCCTGACTGCTCCTCGATCACAGTTTTCACCTTGTGATAAACCTCCTCGAAGCTGTCGCCCTCCACGATCGCTGCCAAACAGAGAGCAGCAGAAAATGATGTTCACATTGATGTTTACGTGACTTTTATTATGTAATTGTCAGAGGTGTAAAGTCCAGGTTCAGAAAGTAAAAGTCCTCCTCAGTATTTTCTTCCAATCACCTGGATTTGCTAATTAGCAGTTCTTCAGCCAGGAGACAGAACTAATTAGTGAAATCAGATGGATGAGTTCATGGGTGGAATAAATATATGGCAGGACTTTTACGTTCTGACCCCTGGACTTTACACCTCTGGTCATTGGTCATAGTCATGTGATTCCCTGCCTAAACCAAAAACAGACGTGACACATTTACTTCAATAAAAATGATGCAAAAGAGATATACCTTCAATCGGCCCCATTCTTGAAACACAATAAAAACTAATTCCAGTGTAAAAACATGCGTTCATAAACTGCAACTTTAGAATAATTTGCTGCATTAAGACGTATAAATAATTTGTAATACCACTCTTGCTTTCATATTGATATATAGTTAATATAAAAATTTAATCTAAATCATATGTAAAACTATACTTGCACACACGCAAGAATTTATATGTGTATTGTTAATAAAAAACATGTATATAAATGCTCATATTTCTAAATTACAAATGCAGCTATTTACACAAGAATGATTTAAATATAGATTCATTCTGCACATTAATGAGGCCCATATTGGGTCAGATTTACTAAACAGCGCATTTTAGCGTGCGGCTGCAATCTAGTAAAAGTGCCGGAAAGTTCTCCGGATGATCTTTTGACAAATGACAATGCGCAAATTCAACAGAAGATCGGTTAAGACGTGCCAGCTTTTTTGGGGTGGTAAATAATGGCACTAATACCAGTATACAGACTACCGCAAACTTTAGTGAATCATGTTTCATGATTCATTTAATACTCTGTCCATAAATTTGACAGGGAAACTTTTGGAGTGCAAAAATAACTGTCCATGCCTTTTCATTGCTCACTTTAGTAAATCCTGACAGTAGTTTTATTGCCCAAGAGGGTTTGCGCTGGAGCAAGCTGTTAGTAAATCTGGCTCATTGTGTCACATGTACAGAAATGACAAATAAGTAACACCCATCCTTCTCAAAATTCTACACACGTTTCTTTATTAAATATTTTGGCTAATTCAATCAAGCCGTCAGGTTGTAGCATTCCCATTGCCTTAGAAATCTGCTAATTTTCTCCCAAAATCAGTGGAAAGCCTTCAGATTCTGGGCCAGATTTACTAAAAAGGGGAAATTAGCGTGAGAGCGCAATTCAACAAAAGCGATAGAAGTGAAGTGGAAAGTGGAAATTTGTAATAGAAGTGGAAAGTTCTGTGGACGACACAAATGAAAGAACACAGACTCAGTTCTATATAGGGCTGGGTATCGATTCAGATGTTCAAATTCGATTCGATTTCAATTCACAAGCTCACAGTTCGATTCGATTTCGATTCTCGATTCGATTATAATGAATATAGATGTAATACAAATCTCAGTCTAAATATCAGTTATCATTTTTTAGACAATTTTTTATTACATTGATCTCACCTAAATGTTTTTTTTTTTACAATGGGGTAATTTTTTTGTTAAGAGTTTATGCAACACATGGAAGCTTGATTTCAATCTTTGAATTAAATTGAAAAAAGTAGCACAAATAAATACAATAGAATAGGCCTAAAGACACAAATAAAGAGACATAAAAAGAAAAGTTTTTGGGTAGGTCAGAAATACTACAGAAACTGCATAAAGTAATCCAATGTAAAATAACACTGGATAGTCTTTTAGTCCTGACTGAATTAAATACATAGGCTATTAATTCTGATTCCTTACAATTAATGCTATATTATGTTGTTTTGACAACAAAATTAATGACAGACACATATGGCTGCGTTTACTTTAAGAACTAGTGCACGGATCCATTACTGTTTCATTATACTGTCTGTCACACGCATTTTATGCTTATTTAAGACATAACCGACTGTCTTTACGAGGTTACTCACCAAGACCAGAGTTTTGACATCATTTTGCGTGTTTTTAACTGTTAAAGCGATATAATCCCCGAAAAAGAACTTTTGTTACTGGCGAGCTGTTTGTGGGGCGGATTTAGGCTGTATGCACGCAATGAAAAACATGTGCGAGTGCGCGAGCACAGGATAGTTTAAAATTGCTTGAATGTTTAAACTGGTAAAACTTAAAAAAGACGTGAAAATGATAAACGTTAGTTACGATGCAATGCTGGCCCGATTGTGCAAGTGAATCATGTCCCGACTCCTAAACACGAGTGTGTATCGACGCCTGCAGCGCTTGACGCTTGCCTTGTGCTGAGTGAGAAGACGCAGCACCGCGAGCCCTGAATATGGAAAAAATCGATTCGTGGCCATTGAGAATCGATTTTGAATCGACCACATTTTAAAAAACGATTAATCGAAAAATCGATTTTTTTGCCCAGCCCTAGTTCTATAATGTCCAACTCAATCTACAGAGAGCAGCAGAAATTAGCGTCTGGTTTAAAACATGCTTTTTTCGTTGGTAAATAATAGCGCAAATACCAGTACATTGACTAGCGCAAACCTTAGTAAATCAGCTTTCATGATTCATTTAAATATTCTACTCCCATAAATGTTGCGTCTGAAAGGGAAACTCCTACAAATGCATATGCAACAAGTTCAGCCGCAAAAATAACCCTGTTCACGCCTTCTCAGCGCTAATTTTTCATTGCATGTCTTTAGTAAACCCTGACAGTATTTTTAAACGCCAAAAGAGAGTTTGCGCTGAAGTAAACTGTTAGTAAATCTGCCTCTTAGTGTGGCCTAGTAATTAGTAGCATGAAACTGTCTTACCAGAGAAGCACTCCAGGAAATCTTGCTCCAGTTTAATCGCGCGGTCCATCCCTTTCCTGGCTTGTTCCTCGGTTAAACGTGTGTTGATCTCTCTGGATAATACAGCACAGACCCCATCAGTTGTCAGTTTCGGCAACATTTACAGCTAAACATACAGAGGCTCAATTTGAAGTTGATGTTGAAGCATTTGTGTAGTTGTTTGCAGTTACGTACAGGACGTTCTCCAGTGATTTGGGCCGTACGAAGATGGCGATTGGGTGAAGCTGTGCAGCCTGTAGTCTACGAACTGCGTTTGCGGACACATCCAGAATACAGTGCTTTCCCTGCTGCTCACAAAAATAGACACGCATATTAAAGGGTTAGTTCACCCCAAAATGACAATTCTGTCAGTAATTACTCTCCCTCATGTTGTTCCAACCCCGTAAGACTTTCGTTCATCTTCGGGACACAAATTAAGATATTTTTGATTAAATCTGAGAGCTGGATCACTCCTCCATAGGCTTCTAAAGGATTGAAACTTGCCGGCCCAGAAAAGTTATGAAAGACATCGTTAAAATAGTCCGAGTGACTACAGTGACTCAACCTTAAGTTTATCAAGTGACGAGAATACTTTTTGTGCGCAAAAAACAAACAAAAATAACGACTTTATTCAACTAGTCATTTCCTTCTCTGTGGGCCTCGAGTGAGTTCACGTAGTGAAACAGCGCAGCGCTTCTGGTTGTCACTTGGACTATTTTAACAATGTCTTTAATAACTTTTCTGGGCCGGCCAGTTTCGATCCCTTAACCCTCTGGGGACGGATTGGGCGGTACCGCCCAAAATGGCATACTTTTACAAATGTGTAAATATCTTAAAAACTATTATTGATAGAGAGGTGCGGCCTTTTTTACCGTCTTCCTCAGATTCCGCTGAAAACAATGATAACTCACCCGGCTTGTAAATATACACACTTCCTTGTTGCGCAATACCACTATGTAAAAGGCCAATGAAATCGATGTTGTTTGGCAGATTCCGCAAGCAACAACCAATGGAAAAATTGCCGATGGCGAAGTATTTTTCTTATCCAATCAGAGGAAGGTTACCATGATGTATCTAGCAAATCAGAGGACTCTGTAGCCATGCAAGGGGTGGTACTATATAGTTAGGGATATGACGCAAACAGCGTTGAATGGAGAGAAGGAGAGAGAGCGAACGGAGGCTTACGGAGATTATCAGAGAAATATGAGAGAGAGACAGAACAATTATAATATATATATTTATATACATACAATTATAACATTATTTATTGTTTTAGCACTTTTATGATGGCAAGCAGTAAAGATTTACGGTGGAACAAGCTCTGGAACAATTACTGGAGAGTGACGAGGAGAAAGCATTGCTTAGAAAATTCTAAGCATTCCTAAGAAAAACGCCTAGGACTATTTGTAAATAAAGTTACATTTTTCATTGTTCTTTACACATTTTATTTAACAATTACACATGTCTGTCAAGCAAAGGCTTTGACAAATATATTTTTTGTTCAAAAACTGTTCACTATTGTTGTGTGATGTGTGATTTTCAGAAATAAATGACAAAAATCTAATTTCCGTTTTTGAAATTCTCTAGTTTATTGTACATTTTTCACTCATACTTTCTTTATAAACACATTACATGCATGCTTATGTTAGCTTAGGGTCTTCTGAATCCATAGATACCAAACACATAGTGTTCCATCTCCATTACATATGGTTTATAAGCCCCCAAATGTAAAAATAGAGAAAACGGACCAAAAAGGGCTTAGTCCCCAGAGGGTTAAGAAGCCTATGGAGGAGTGATCCAGCTCTCAGATTTAATAAAAAATATCTTAATTTGTGTTCTGAAGATGAACGAAAGTCTTAGGGGGTTGGAACAACATGAGGGCGAGTAATTACTGACAGAATTTTCATTTTTGGGGTGAACTATCCCTTTAAGATTTGCAAAAGTGATACACGAGTTCATTGTTTTATTTAAAACGTACCTGTTCTGCCACCTCTCGCACGCTCTGAACGCTGGTCCCGTACAGGTGACTGTTGTACTGGCCCGCCTCAATGAAACGATGGTTCTGAATGTCTTTCTCCATCTGTTCCCGCGACGACACAAAATGGTAGTCCCGTCCATCCACCTCATATTCCCGCTTGGGTCGTGTCGTATCTGAGAAAGAGCGATGACATCATCTCATGACTATGATATCAGTTACACTTATTGGCAGTGCATGACAATTGTGTTGAAAATGGCTGTTTACTGCTTATAGTAAGTGAAGACATTTTGGGCAAGCTTCAAATTATTATTATTTTTTTTATGAAATCAGGGGCCGTATTCACAAAGAATTTTAAGGCTAAAAGTAGCTCCTAACTTGCGAATTTAGGAGCAACTCCTAAAAATAATGGGCGTGTCACTCCTAACTTTAGGACTCCTAAATTTTTTCACTAAGAGTAATTCACAAAGCATTTTAGCCCTAAAAGTAGCACCTAAGTTTGGGAGAGCTTAAAAGAAGTCGAGAGGACTCCTAACTCACTAAGACCAATTCACAAAGGATTGTAGCGCATACCACCGCCTCTCGCAGTCGTCCGGGCTCCGCGACACAAGCGGGAATGCTGCATTGATCTGCAAACAAATCCTCTCCCATGTCTCACGCTTAGTTTTGCTTGATATCCCAGTGCCGAATTTCCCATTTATTTTTATTTTTTTTTCAGCACCAACTGAGCCAGCAGCAGTGGTTCGGTTCACACCGAACGCGAATTTAATTGTTTGCGCGTGTAGATTACATACAAAGTCAATGCAAAGACGCAAATAGATGCATCATTCGCGCCGGGCGTTGCGAATGACGCAAATTGGGCGATACGTTTGCCGCGAATGTCTTCCGCGCAAGTTGAAAAATTTGAACTCGAGCGAATGTTCAAGCGTCTAACTAGACGCGATAGACGCATATTTGACGCTCTATTCGCGTTCGGTGTGAACACACCATAAATGATCCTGCGTCCAGTTGGGCTTTCTTTTCCGTTTTGGCGAGTTCATAATCCACCGTCATTCAACTATTACATTAGGCTACTTCAATAGGAGCAACATTTCCTTAGTCTATTTAGGCTAATAGGATGTCAATTAATGTGTTAATGCAAAGTGTTAATGCAAGTGTCGTTTTTCATTATTAGGCAAGTGGCTGTTTTCATTAGGGTAGGCTATTAGGGTACCTTAATTTAATTTAATTTAATTCACGACTTTTTTTCTCTCTCTCTGCCTTTTTAGAATTACACTTCACTGGGGCATGCACAAATATGATATGCATTTCGATGACATAACTATTATTATTTTGTGTAGGACACAGACATATTTAGATGTCCTAAATCCATGATTTGTTGCGTCTGTGTTATGTTCCGCATGATGGCCCTGTCATCTAACAACCAATCACCGTGATCATTGCGAGGAAGCTCGTGCATGAGAATTGACGTCATCCATAGCAACGAAGACTCACTCTTAGTTTAGGAGTTGTCATTTTTCCTTACTAAGAGTAGGTCTGAAAGGCGTTGTGAATAACTTTTAATAGAAAACTCCTAGCTAAAATATTTTAGTGCGATTTAGGAGTACTCCTAGTGGTAAGATAAAATTCTTTGTGAATACGGCCCCAGAACTGTGAAGTTATTTATTCACAAAGCTGAATTTTCAGCATCATTACTCCAGTCTTCAGTGTCACATGATCCTTCAGAAATCATTCCAATATGCTGATTTGATAATCAAGAAACATTTCCGATTATTATTATCAATGTTGAAAACAGCTGTGCCGTTTAATATGTTTGTAGAGACTGTGATACACTACCATTTAAAAGGTTAGGGTATGATTTAAAAACACTTTTATTCAGCAAGGACGCATTAAATTGATCAAAAGGTGACAGTAAATACATTTATAATGTTACAGAAGATTTCTATTTGAAATAAATTTGAAGTTTATATTAGGGCTGCACGATTTGGGGAAAATGTCATATTGCGATTATTGAGGTCAATATTGCGATAAGCGATTGCGATATAATAAACAAAAGGTTTCATGAGTCAACTTGCTTGGTTCTAAAGCAAAAAGCACACACAGATTAGTGATAATTCTGAAATGTGTATTTCTCAACTCAAACTAGCAACAACAACTAAATGATTGATAACACCTATAATGATCAATAAGCCATTGATGTCTGGATAAAAATTCATTTAATTTTAATTTAAGTGAACTTCAAACAATCTTCACATAAACCCATAATAAATGTCATATTTACCTGTGCTCTTCCTGTCTAACAGGACATATATAACGTTACAGAAATTGAATAAAGTTATCAAACAGTCTGCGCTGCATAAATGATAAATTATATGGACTAAAATCCTATTTAAAGCAACACAAGTTCTTTGGTCAAGAGCAGTGAGTGTTTTTCTCTGTTCCCTTTGTTCTTTGATTAACTTTACTGACAGAGAGGATTATTGGATGCCGGCCCTTTAAGAGTTGCTGACAGAGACGCGGATCTCACACGCGCCTTATTCTCTCACAACTCTTTACGACCATCATAAGGCTGCTCTTATGTTATGAAGACACTCGACAAATGATATTTTGGCATAATTGTGTGTGTTATTGTTCGTTCACTTCAAGCGGAAAGAGAACTGTATTCTGGCGCGCGGTCTGGGCACGCGCATGATACTGGCGCGCGTCTTTCAGTCAGGACTAGGGTTACCAACTTTCTGAAATGGAAATAAGGAACGGGGGGGGGGGGGGGGGGCGGAGATTGACATGGGATTGACAGTATTAACATATTATAATACAACTTTTAGGCCTACGCCTGTTTATTTATAGAATAGCAAAGTAGTCCTAATCAATAATAGGCCTATACAAGACTGAACCACATAGATATATAGCTATCATGATCATTTTGCCAACAATGAACCATGGATTTGTTTTTACGTATTATAAATACGTTTTATTTTTAACTTAAACAAATACAACATAGCCTATAACATTCAAAACTCAGACTGCATTTGAAGAAAAATAAACACAACAGTTTTCTGTAGCCTTGTGCGAACTTATTCAATAGAATTAGACTTCTAGAATGTTCTTTCCAGTGCAAAAAATAATATTTTTAATATTCCTACCTTTAATACCTCGCGCATTCCAGCCACGGGTAGTCATTTTCCCATTCAACTCTATTTGCTCTTTTCTTTTTCGCCGGCTGCTCGGAGGTAGTCATTTTTACATTTCCCGCTGTTGTCACTTGTCGTCATCGTTGCTACAATACGTGACTCACAATGACTAACGACCAATTAAAAGGGCATTCTCTGATGATGATAAAAACGCTACGCGGCTGATCACAGACAAACAGGGGGAGAAATTAGTATCTACCGCACTGTCGGTTTTTTTTTTCTTATCATAGCCTTAAATGTCTTCGTTCATAGTCTGTCTGACATTTATTAGAAGCAATGTGCCTGTCATGAATTTGCACTGAATTGATTCTCAAAAATACGGAACAAAGTGCGTTCCGGACGGATGACAAAAAATAACAGATGCTGCGTTAACAGCCCTAATTTGTTTATTTCATATAAAATCGCAGTATTTTGCGTCATATAATCACATAGGCTTGACATCGCGATTACGATTGCGATATGATTAATCGTGCAGCACTAGTTTATATTCATCAAAGAATCCTGAAAAAAATTGCATCATGGTTTCCACAAAAGATATAAAGCGGCACAACTGTTTTTGATAATTAATAAAAAAAATGGTTGAGCCCCAAATCAGCATATTCGAATGATTTCTTAAGACGGAAATTGCATGAAGCCAAATCAGACCTTTGTTGAGAAAGCTCTTGGCACTTTTGAGAGCAATATGCATCTGAGCGTGACGACAGAGATGAGGAATACTTACGAGGGACACAAGAGCCGAACTTGTCTGGGAACTCAGACAGCAGGTCATCATTCACTCGGTCCTTCACCGGGCCCAGAATAATGATCGGCCTCGCGTAGTGCACTAAATTGGATGAGAGATGAGACAGAGACTGTACGAATACATACACTAGTAGACAAAGCAAAAATGGATGTGAGGAGAAAGAACAATATGACATAAGCTAAAAAAAACTCAGTGGCTCAGTTCCCAACCCTAGTGAGCTATAGGTGCGCTCCCCATACAAAAACTGAAGGCAGCGAAATGTGAAGCTTAGAAAATGCTTAAAGGGATAGTTAACCCAAAAATGAAAATTATTAATTACTCACCCTCATGTTGTTCCAAACCTGTTTCGTTCATCTTCAGAACACAAATGAAGATCTTTTGAATGAAATCTGAGAGCTTTCTGTCCCTTCATTGACAGCTATGCAACTACCACTTTAATGCTTCAAAAAGTTCATAAAGAGATCGTAAAACTAATCCAAATGAAATGAGCGGTTTAGTCCAAAAATTTCTGAAGAGACTCGATTGCTTAGCCTGGTTAAAACCAGACCATTCTCAGTTGTAACTGAGTTATGGTCTGGCAAAGCGTCATAGACAAATCATTTCCAGAGGGGCGTCACCAACGGACGTCGCGGATAGACCTAAACCCAATCAGAGCGATGAAGGAGATGACGTACGCAGAGCGGCGGAGAAACATCTCCGAGTGTTGTTCTTTGCTCGGTTTTTAACAAAAAGGAAACGTTCAAATTGCTTAAAACAGACGCGATAGCTGATTGGAACGAGTGATGTTCGACGGCGGCGTCCATCTTTGTAATGTAGGCTACAAAATCTGCTTCAAAATCCCAGCGCTGTCGTCATCGTGTAAAGCCCGCCCCAACGTTTCTGATTGGTGCCGCGATTTCGACGGATTGGAAATGGGCTTGAATGAGCTCTTTGCCAGACTAACTTTCAGAGCAAATCTAAATTATGCCGGAAGTGGTCTGGGTTTTCCCTGGCTATCGATCGCTTTATATGACGAACAGATTTAATTTAGGCTTTTATTCACATTTAAACATTGATCAGCGAACATAATCAGAAGCTCAACCGAACCTCATTGGTTCTCACACGTCAAGCGAACATGCTTGAGCTTCTGATTACCACTGATGTGTGAGATGATCAATGTTTATATGTAGCCTCGTGAGACCATCCTGATCTCGCGAGCTTTCAAGGTTTTACTCGCAGATCAGTCTGGATACTTTCCGTTAAAGAAAATTTGGGAGCAGTTCACCAAACGAACGTCCAATCAGCGTTGGCTTTGAGGCGGGTTGAGGTGTGACGCAACGAGAAGCGCGACAGTTCAGTCTAAAGAACATGGCGGCTTCAGCGGATGAAACTAGCATCAGCGTGGCTATCGAGCAAGTTTTATCGGAATTACAGAGTATTTCTTCACTGAAAGAAGAGCAAAACACTGCTCTGGAGGCTTTTCTCAGAGGAAAAGATGTTTTTGCTCTTCTCCCGACTGGTTTCGGCAAGAGTTTGATCTATCAATTGGCTCCTCTTGTCGTGAAGAAAATAAGAAAGGTGAAAAATCCCATAATAGTGGTAGTATCTCCGTTGGTTGCCCTGATGGAAGATCAGATCAGAGAGGCTGGGAAGCTAGGAGTCTCTGCCATGCAGCTCGGAGGAATCAACGATACAGACATCCTCCATGGCCGAATACAGTTGGTGTTTGGTAGCCCTGAGTCTTGGTTACTCAATGAGAAATGGAGGGATATGCTTTCCTCCGAAGTATACCGTGAAGACTTGGTGGGGATTGTCGTTGATGAGGTGCATGTCACATATAAATGGTAAGTTTAAAAACGTTAACGTTAGTTACGTTACCTAACTTAATTGTATGTTAAACAATCAATGTCATTAGGTCCTTGAAGCCAAACAAACGATAGCTAACAACAAGCACTAGCAATTTGTTCATAAGCAACGTTGGCTCAGTCATAAAGGATGAAGATTAAAATGTTTATTAAAATGCAAGAGTAGCCTGGCTTGTGGTTGTGTTTTCGTCGTCGCTCTGTTAGTACGTCATATGCTTCGTTGATCTGATTGTTTGACTTGGCCCGTCTATCACCAACATAGGCCAATCAGCTAACCAGTATTTTCGCCCCTTACCAAACTACTTCAACGAAAGGTTTCCAGATGGATATGCGGAGCAAATCCATCTGGCGGAGTCAGGTTAGTTTATATGTGAATACAAGCCGTATCATATCATATAAAGCGATCGAGTCTCTTTCGAAAGTTTGGACTAAACCACTCAATTCATATGGATTAGAACTTTTTGAAGCATCAAAGTGGTAGTTGCGTAGCTGTCAATGGAGGGACAGAAAGCTCTCAGATCTTCATTTGTTTTTCGAAACGAAAGTTTTCGGGTTTGGAACGACAGAATTTTCATTTTTGGGCGAACTATCCCTTTAATTTTACTCAACTTCTAAAGCAAAACATCCATAGAACTGCAACACAGGCCCATCAATTTTCCATCAGTTTCAAGCCAGGAATAAGTTTTCAGGAGGGTCTCCCTCGGTTGAATTCTCCTAGAATCGCCACTCAATCTTCCCTCAAGCGACGGCCCTGATGGTATGCATCATCAATAAGGTTTATACTGAATGTGGCACACTGTGATGATGATAAAGAACTGTATGTCAAGCTCGCTGTTCGCATACGGTAACCTACGCAGGAAAAAACAAAGTATACTTGCACGCTTGCTTTGTGGGTAAGGCTGACAAGTAAAAAAAAAAAAAAATTATTATTAGTACCAGAAAACCATACTTAAGTAAAAGTGGAGATACCTTACTGCGAAAATGACTTCATTACAAGTTACAAGTCACCAATTCCAATACGATTTGAGTAAAAGTCTTGGGCCTGGTTTCACAGACATGGTTTAGATTAAACCAGGATTAGGCCTAAGTTCAGTTAGGACATTTAAGAAGCTTTTATGAACGTGCCTTGGTGTGCATCTTGAGACAAAACAACAGCACTGACATATTTTAAGATATATCAGTGCGAGTTGCTTTCAGCTCAAACATGCATTTTAGTCTGAGACTAGGCTTAAACCTCGTCTGTGAAACCGGGGGTTAGAGTATCTGATTTGAATGATTTTGTACTCATACTGAATGTAGGCTCAAAGATGCACTAGTCCCCAACAAGACATGCCAGTGAATCAAAATCAAACTGAACACCTCAATATTGCAATAAATCAAAGTCGACACAACAGCCTCTTAAATATCTACAGATACTCAAAACTCAAAAGTCTCAGTTAACTTGGAATTTTTTTTCTTGTAGCATGTAATCGCTGCAAATTCATTAAAGCGTTGATAGTGTTGCCATAGAAATGCATAATTCAAATGCATAAATACGTATTGTCATCTCATAATTATTGTAATAGACCTTAGTCAGGGTAGTGCCATATTTAATTTTGGATGGGAATGAAAACGAGGCTGAGGGATAGAATACAGTGTTCAGTCGATTGTACTGTTGTTTAACAACGAACCGATTGTTCAGCTGATGAAACGTCTTTCTGAAAACAACTTTTAGTGAACAGAAACTCCATAAGGCAGTTTAAAAAGTTGTGAACTAGGACTTTTATACAGTGTATGCCACTGAAAAGACTATCTCTATCCCTCACAGCTTCGTTTTCATTGGCGATAAATTGAATATGGTGTCTAACCTGACTGAGGTGTATTACGACATGGCGTGAACTCAGCACGTGTCCTCATCTCATATATGAAACACCTGCGATTCACAACTGCCTGCTAATGCACTCACACTCGTGTAAAAAGGCCTTGTTGATAAGTTTAGGTGAATAAGGGCAAAACGCACAAGATATAGTACCTTCAATGTCCTGTAGATGGCGATATCGCTTCTTTTGTAGCAGAAATTGCTGCAGAAAAAGTTTGGTGCCATGCAAAATGTAATGAGTAATTGCTTTACTCATTACAAATGTACTGGAGTACATAATCAAAAAATGTAGTTAAGTAGAGACTAAAAGATGCTGACAATCCAAGTACAGAGTAGCCAAAACGATACTTAAGTACAGTAACTAGTTACATCTACTCAAATACTTGACACCACTGCTGAAAAGTATCTATAACAATAGTTACATCTAGAAATATCTGATTTCTATGGAAGCTTGTTTCCACCACTGAATAAAAATAAATAAATAAATAATTGTGACTTTTTATCTCACAATTGCGAGTTATCAGGCCAATTCTAAGGGGGGAAAAAGACTAACTTTTTTCCCCTCAGAATAGTTTATATCTCACAATTCTGACTTTATATCAATAAATTCTGACTTTATAACACGCAATTCTGACTTTATATCACACAATTCTGACTTTATATCACGCAATTGCGAGTTTATATCAATTCTGACTTTATATCAATCAATTCAGACTTTATATCTCGCAATTCTGACTTTATATCACGCAATTCTGACTTTATAACCTGCAATTGCGACTTTATATCAATAAATTCTGACTTTATATCTCGCAATTCTGACTTTATAACCTGCAATTGCGACTTTATATCAATAAATTCTGACTTTATATCTCGCAATTCTGACTTTATAACACGCAATTGCGACTTTATATCATGCAATTCTGACTTTATATCACACAATTCTGACTTTATATCACACAATTGCGAGTTTATATCAATCAATTCTGACTTTATATCATGCAATTCTGACTTTATAACACGCAATTGCGACTTTATATCAATAAATTCTGACTTTATATCTCGCAATTCTGACTTTATAACACGCAATTGTGACTTTATATCAATAAATTCTGACTTTATATCTCGCAATTCTGACTTTATAACACGCAATTGCGACTTTATATCAATAAATTCTGACTTTATATCTCGCAATTCTGACTTTATAACACGCAATTGCGATTTTATATCACGCAATTCTGACTTTATCTCGCAATTGTGAGAAAAAAAGTCAGAATTGTGAGATAAAAAGTCACAATTACCTTTTTTATTTTTCATTCTGTGGCGGAAACAAGCTTCCATAGATTTCACATCAATAGTACTCTATTCAAATGAACTCTCAGCGTTAGTGCACTTTACATGAGGAGCGCTATTTGTGTTGTTGCTGTTGTCTATATATGCAGTGTTTGAATTGAGTCACATACAGAATGAAGTTTTTATTTAATTTAGATTTAATGCTGCCTGCGTAGACCATAGAAAGCAAGGTATCTCACTGGGGTTTGTATCAGAGCCAACGTATAAATGTCTCAGTTGAGTTATCCAACCTTCCACTTGTGCAACTGTCTCGTAACTCCGTACTGCCTCTTCCCTTCCTGAGAGAAAACAAATACACATACATCAGTTTCTGTTTGCAATGCATTCAGCAACAAAACATATATATGTATATTCTGGGCTATAGTGTGCTGTCTATGAGGGAAAAGAAGTTTGTAACTCACCCTGTGAGCCTATACTGTCTCGACTTCGGTCCTGTCAAAGAGAAAATATAAGGTGCAATGCTTATCAAATTGTAATAGACTGTTTCCTACATCAGTTGTAAACATCCAGTTATTGCATCATTTGTCCTGGCTTGAAGAGGTAATAACAGTGTACAAGTGTATGTGATGTCCTGTCGGAAATATCGCATTAATGAGATGAGCAGAAGTACACTTTAGCATACTTTTAAAAAGAGTACTTTTTATGGAAACAATATACTTAAAAAAAATATATAGTTAAGTGTGAATTAAATGTAAATGTTTTCAGATGCTTAATTGCATTAGATGAAAATGTATTATAGTTTAAATTTACATTAGCTGCAATTAGCTGAACATTAGAGTGATTCTTTGAAAGTAGGACTTAATTCCATCTTTATATGTCGTTTCATAATTTCTATTATTGTCTTATGAAATACACTTAAAGTGTACCATCGAATGCCAAGCATTTATAAATGACAAGCATTTATGGTGAACTAAAATATACTTTAATGTCATTTTTTCTATTTAAACTTGTATGCCATGTAATTACGTAATTTTTAATTACACATTTGTGATGATAAATGTGCAATTTAAACTTTAAATGTAATACCAAATAACACACTACAATAAAAATTATAATCAAGTACTTTACATAATGCTTTAGTATGTCAGTCAACACATCAAAATAAGTGTACTTTTTTAAAGCATGACAAAAGATTTTTTAAACAGTGTTTTAAAATGTACTTTCTAATAATGTCAAATTAAAAGTTTGGACTTAAAATAAAAAGTTAACAAACATAGTCATGAAAGTTTACTCTCTTTAAGTACATTTAAGTGGTATTTTATTTCAGTAGACAGTGTTTTAAAAATATGATTTTAAGATTTGAAGTATTTGTACAAGTGCACAATAAATGCACTTAAGCACACTTCTTTTTTAAAGGTAACCCTGTGACAAAGTGGGGAGAAAAATGTCCAAAGGCGTTGTGTGTGTGTCTGGGAAACCTAGATTGACATAAACCAGGAAGAGTAACATGAGCATGTGGATGTTTTTACCCTGTCTCAATGTTTGTTTTTTGTCTGCAAATGTCATTTTAGGAGCTCTATATATGAATACCACCACAATGCCATAATTGCAAGTGGGATTTTTTTTTTTTAAATGCTAAAATACACAGGCAAAACATCAGTCATGCTTAATGCACACCATTTGCTGTGTTTGCATTAGCTCTAAAGAGCTACCTGTCTTCCGGAGAGTGAAAGAGAGGAAAAATATAAGCTTAAAATATTAACTTCCCAGGGAAACCTCCAGAACCGTGATCTGTGTGTACAGGCAGCACAAGCTCACAATGCCCAGGAGCTTCAATGCTTTCATAAAACAACTCCTTGATAGACTCCCATGAGCTGCAAACACACACCACTGCTAGTCTAAACCCGTCAGAACACATTATAGAGCAGGACAACAAATCTCGTAGGAGAAGAGCCCAATGTTTTTGGAGTAATTTAAAGAAAAATGGGTGAACTGCAAACAGCTGTTTGTGTTTTTGCATGGAGCTTACCCTTTCTTGTGACTTCAAGCGCGACCACTCTTTTCTCTCAACCCTGGAAGAGAGAGAGTGGTTGAATGAATGACAAGATAAATAAAAACAGGAAAAAAAAAACACTGAGGGGGAATTCACTAAGAAGGAATTGTGCCCATCTGATGCTGTTGTTTGTTGCTTTAATGATATTGCTTAACTATTTAATATCAAAAACTACTTTTTTGCCACAACAAACTGCATTCTTTACTCTCAAGGTGTGTTTCTGCTTGCTTTTTGCAAAGTGAGTGACATTCTCGATAATGCCAGATGAACACAATGTTAAAACAACAGTTACACAGCTGAAATAGCACATACAGGGGCGCTGCTAAGGATTTAGGGCCCCATGAAAAGAATCTTGACAGGGCCCCCAACACAGCTGAGACTTTGTTCATATTAATTTACATATGGCAAAATACTTTTATGGTATTTTGACTATCATTCTCATATATTTAAGTCAATCAGACAATTGAACTTCATCCCATGTCCACACCCCTAATTTGTCCTCTGTAATACAAAGCCGTGCACCCGCTGCACCCTGCTCTATCGAAACGTGCTAACTTGTTGAAAAATGCTACCGTAGAGACCTGGGGCCTCAAAGCGTGCGTACGCCATAGCTGTCAACATTGAACATTGAAAATAAAGGAGATTTCCCGGAATCCATCCCCAAAATAAGGGATATTTTTAACCACAATCTTTAAAAATAAAGCACTAATCATTAAAAGTCTAAAGAGTTTATAACTAGCCTACATACACTACCGTTCAAAAGTTTGGGGTCAGTGAGAATTTTATTTTTATTTTTTGGAGGAAAGAAATCAATACTTTTATTTATCAAGGAATAATTAATTTGATCGAAAGTGACAGTAAAGACATTTATAATGTTACAAAAGTCTTTTGAACTTCCTATTCATCAAAGAATAAAAACAAAAACAACAAAAAAACTGTACAACTGACATACCAACAACTGTTTCAACATTGATAATAATAATAAATGTTTCTAGAGCATCAAATCCTCATATTATACTGATTTGTGAAGGATCATTTGACACTGAAGACACTGACACTGGTGATGCTGAAAATTCAGCTTTGATCACAGGAATAAATTACACTTTACTATATATTCACACAGAAAACAGCTGATTTACACTGGAATAATATTTAATATTATAACTGATTTTTGTTGTATTTTTAATCAAATAAGCGCAGCCATGGTTAGCAGAAGAGAATTCTTTTAAAAGTATTTAAAATCGTACCGACCCCAAACTTTTGAACGGTAGTGTATGTGTGAGAGAGAAAGAGACAATGTGTGTGTGTGTGTGTATGAGAGAGAAAGAGACAGTGTGTCATTTAAAAAAAAAATATCGTAGAGAATGTTTAAATACTAATATCAGTTTACGAGGGAAACGGAGGCGAAGTTAGTTGGTGCTTCGGGGAGTGCTGGAGATGATTGGGAGAGGTCCGTGCACCTTTACCGATCAGAGCGCGCGCTGACACTTGTTTATTCTCAACGCGTCGCACGAGCGCGGCAAAAGTGACAAGTTTGGTGCGCAAGACCGGCAAGACCTCATTTCGCTTAGCTGTGTGCACAGCTTTTTTGTAACAGCGCGCGCGGCACCGCATCCGAGGATAAACGACTTCAAGCCGAATCTGTCCGAGCGTGTAACTTACGTCTCACACAATCAGAGCGTAAAAATACGTTGCCTGGATACAATTTGGGCGGACTGAACCATTTTATGATAATCGAGACGAGGGGAGAGGGGCCCACGGACGTTTGTGTTTCCTAAACAAATACATTTTTTTTGACACCAGGAAACAGCAAATAGAATAATTTAAAGTTAATAATTTTTACTATCAAATTAATTTTTTTAGCACCACAATTTTATTTGGGGGCTTCTCTGGGCCCCCTCTTAGTCATGGGCCCCGAGAATCGTCATCGTTTACCCCCCCTTTACAGCGCCCCTGAGCACATACACAACTGTTTAGTGAATTTGTCCAAAGCGAGATTAAAGCCATAAAACATTAATGTGAGACTGGTATGATAAAATCTCTTATTTCTGTCACGACAATGTAAAGCTTGTAAACTTGGTTGCTTCCGCTTGATTCGCATAAGAATAACGAAAAGTGTTCTTTACATAGAATGTTATTGATTTCTATTTCATTTAAACTTTCTATTCATCAAAGAATCCTGATAAAAATGTATTATGGTTTTCCACAAAAATATATAGCAGCTCAACTGTTTTCAACATTGATAATAATCAGAAATCTTAGGCATCAAATCATCATATAAAAATGATTTCTGGAGGATCATGAAATGATCATGATCACTGAAGACTGGAGTAATGATGCTGAAAATTCAGACTTTATTTCAAAAATCTGACCAACACCAAACAGTGTAATTTTCACTTTTATATTCTAGTGTGAAAATGATTGGTTTTAACATTTCACATGTTGTTGATAGAGCCTCAGTTAACCCTTGTGTTATGTTGCGGGTCAATTTGACCCGTTTCGATTTTCAAGTTGTTGGAAATACTGGTTAACCTTGTTTTTTTTCTTGATATTTTGTGACTTTCTCATTTATCATGATGAACATGCATGCAAAGTTTCAACATGCTGATGTGTTTTGACATATACAAACAAAATTACTGTTACGTTCGTGATGTTCGCGGGTCAATTTGACCCTCATAGACAGCCATTCAAAAGCATATACAGACACAAAATAAAAACATTTATTTTCTGTATGTCAGAGCACTTCAACTCCAGTTCTAACGTGCAAGTGCATCTAAAAGTGCTCTAACCCTAACCAAACACACTTGAAAAAGATAAAATTACAGTGTTCAGAATTATTTGCAAATTACAGATGAAAATCTTTGTCCGACACAGATAGTAAAATAAGCTCTCATTTCAATATTCAAGATATCTAAAATCCCTAGCTTTTAACCAAAACTTTTATGTAGGATTTTCAAAGGCAGCTTCACAGAGCCAAACAATAAATAAAAAACATTTATTTGATGTATGTTTTTGTTATGTTTGGTTTCTCACTTCCCAGTGAGTGAATAATGAAACTAGGAAAATAGGTCTTAGGAAACTAGGGAAAGTTAACTTAGGAAAATGAAAAATTTTCATTATACAGCAATTATTTTTGTTCAGTTACGATGTTCAAAGCATAAAATGTAAAAAAAAAAAAAAAAAAAATCAGTATACTGTTTATTTTCCAATTTTGTTAAAACAAAACTGTTTTAAAAACATTTTCATAAATCATATTTTCAGATATAATGTTTTTATAATGTTTGACAAATGTTGATATTAAAAGTTTACAGTTTGTATCTAAATCTTTGTTGTTTTTCATAGTGTGATTTTTGAGGAATTGTATTGAATCCAATTAGGGTCAATTTGACCCGGTCCATAAGGGGAGTACACAGAAATCGAACAGAACACAAGGGTTAAGTATTTATCACAGAAATGCCTTTTAAAATGACTATTTTGGGTTCGGGCTGTGTGCGGATAAACGCTTCTAGAGCACGTCCTTGTAACAGTGTGTGAAAAGCTAAAAAGCTTCTTTAAGCCGTTTGAATATTATTTTGTTCAAGGACAACAGAGGAGATAACACAAGAGAAAGCACACACACACACACACACACACCTCCTCTTGCTGGGGATGAAGCCGACCTCCTCTTCATCCCCCTGAGGACTGACTCTGCAGGCCTGCCACCACTCTTCATCTCCACAGTCCAAAACATGCAGCACATCTCCAAACCGAAAGCCCACGGCCTGACTCAGGAAACCACAGTCTGCAGTCTTATCATAGTCAAACAGAGCCCTGCCAAACGAGAGAGAGAGAGAGAGAGACATAAGTCACGGGGAAAAGAGAGGACAGTTACAGACAGAAGGACTGAAAAGGAGGAACATCAAAGGAAAATCATGGAATTGGGGTGAAATTAAGCAACACAGACCTTATATTTTTGTCCCTTTTCCTTGTTATGTTCAGAATGGAGTACTAGCCTTCTGATTTCTTTCTGCATACTGAGCAGTGTATACTATTTTTTAAACAGTATGTTAAACAGTATGCTGCAATACACATTTGAAACTATAGAATGCTACACTACTCATTGCAACTTAAAAATTAACACTTAAATAATGAGAAAGAGATTGAAATAGCAGTATAGTATCCAGTTCATTTGTCACACTGGAGAGGGAAGGTGAAGTTGAGTGCAGTGGATTATGGGATACATTTACACAGTGTGCTCAGCTTGTATACTGGGCACTTTAGCAAATGTAGTATGTCATCTTGTAATTCCACCCTTGTGAAAAACAAGAGCGCTTAATTATATTGAACGTGTTATTTTAGTGTTATTCAAATCTTGAAAGTGCACTTAAAAAGAGTAAACTTTCATGACTTTTTAAAAAAATGCACTTTGTAATATTGTCAAATTAAAAGTGTCACTTTTTTCATTTTAAATCATTATGCTTTAAAGAAGCACACTTATTTTGATGTGTTGTTGACTAACACACTAAAGCACATGTAAAGAACTTGATTATAATTTTAACTTAAGTGTTCAATTCAATATTACATTTAAAGTTAATATATTTTAAATGCACTAAATTGCAACTTCATCATTATTACAAATATATTTAAATGCTTGACATTTAAAGTTTCAGTAAAAATGACATTAAAGCAAACCATAAATGATTGTCAGTACATTTGTCAGTGCACTTTAATCATATTTCGAAGACAATAGAAGTAATTATAAAATGACATATAGAGATGTACTTCAGTCCTACTGAAGTGGGTCAAAAAGCACTCTAAAGTGTATTTAATATAAATATTTTTATGTCAATAAATAAATGTAAAACACAATGAATGATACATTTTACTTTAATTTTAAGGCGAGACACTACAGGTGAATAGGGTATTTTTTTTAACTAGCAGATATCACCCATGAAACTTTCCCAGTTGATTACCTACATTAAGATGAGAAAAAAATGTATTACAAGTTTTATGTAATTTAATGTTTAAATATGCAAATTAGGCATTATCTAATTAAATATGCGCTAATTTGCATACATTTCAAAAAATGAAATCTGAGTATTGGATAAAGCCAGGTTCAAAATTCTTTTTTCATTGTGTTCACATATTAGATGGGAAAAAAATATACACAGGGATTTATGAAAATCTACTTTTGTTCTCCTGTAAATCAGAATATACTGTCAATAGCCATAGAAAAATGATTTTTGCCATGTTTTTTGGAATAAAATGTTATATAAATCGGGCTAGGAATAATATATTTACAAATCCCTCTGTAAATGTCTTCATAATATAACTAGGTACAAGACTGGAAAGTTTGGTGTATATAGGTGCTACCGAAGTGGAGATTTCGGACTTTGAGTATGAGAGAAAAGTAATTTTGAGAAAACGGGCTTTAAAGATTTAGCATCAGCCAATGAGATTGCGCATTTGCGCCCTTTTACTTTCACGATTGTTTGCTGATAAAAAGGAAATGACCATATTTGAATCCGACAACATTGTACAAGAGAGAGAGAGCTTTCTAACGGTGTGTGTGATGACAGGGTGCAGATCGCGATCGCGGAGCAACGGATGATTTACAACGCCAACTTTTGATGAATTTATGAGAAATCTACAGACGCAAACAGACAAAGAGTAGTAAAATAAAGACCTAAATGTGCATTTCGGACTTTTTTTCACCACAAGTCTGAAAGAAGACATGTTTTTGAAGACAAATATCCCGAAATCTCAAAATTGACCAGTGAAATTTTTTTTTTTTTGCCTGCCGTGTCTCGCCTTAAACATGTTGAAAACTTTACTTTCAGTTTTCACTCAAGTATATTTTATTAAACTATTATTTCTGTAATGAATACAAGTATGCTAAAGTGAACTTCTTTTTCACAAGGGCATGCATACACAAAAAAAATGAGCATACTGCACATAGTATACACACTGCTGAGGAGTGTAGTGGAAAGAGGACAGGAAATGATGCAAAGAGGAAGGGAATGGAGTTGTACATGTGACTCCTTCATTAGTGTGTTCATAATTTAGTGTGTGTGTGTGTGTGTGTTGTACGTTTACCTGATATAAAACCCTCGTTTTGGGTTACTTCGTAATGTAGTTGTTCCAGAGCCCATACTGCTGTTCATCAACTGCTCTCTGAGGTCATGAATTTTAGCTTCAAATCGACTGTACTCTGCACAAACAAACACAATTTTCAATTTTATCTTAAAACTACACATTTACAAGGTCACATTGTAAAGTGTGCACAATTATTAAGCAATTTTGCTGAACATCTTTATCATTTCCTTATCAGCTCTTTGAATCAATAAGGGTTTATTGAAACCTGCAGACTGACAGTGCCACCTACTGGCCGGAACAGGTAATGAGGGCTTTAAAACTGAGGCAAGCTAAAAGAATAAATGTATTTGTGTTTTAAAAAAGCAAACAAAATGGAAAAGAGCGTAGGGTGTCGAGACCTGTTTTTAAAAGTTGAACTTTTGACTTGACAAGGCGCAACGGTCAAACAGTTTACATCACTGAAAACAACCTTTTCCGTTTTCATCTCCACTAGGCCAGGGCAAACCAAGTGCAAGAATTTATATTAAAATCTATATTATTTGATGTTTATAACATGAGTGTATCTTCGAAAAAAGATCAGTGGTTTCGACAATAATAAAGGACGTAAGCCACTAAAGTAACTACTCACCAATAGCAGATTAAAAGAGCACAATACGTCTGTTGTTGTTTTCTGAGCTATGTCTGAAGTGTGTGTGTGTGTGTGTGTGCTTCATATTTAATAGCGCTCCATTATGATACAGTTAATGAGGAGCTTAATATGATCACTATTGGCTAATGCGCGTCGTACCCGAGCGTGGCTGATTTGACTCGTCCCCTCATCAAGACCATTGTTTATACAGATTAAAACACATTAAACATTCATTAAACATACACACATTAAAACATTCATTATTGGCGGTGCTATGCAAATTTCTGACGGGGCTCGAGCCTCCAGCCCCAGAAAGCCTCGCGCTGCCACTGACACTAGTGTATACAGTGGCCCCAAAAACTATTTGAGACTTCAGCCACAAATAAAAATGCATACACTATACAGGTGAAACTCAAAAAATTTGAATATCGTGCAAAAGTTCATTTATGTCAGTAATTCAACTTAAACGGTGAAACTAATATATTATATAGACTCATTAAATGCAAAGTGCGATATTTCAAGCCTTTATTTGTTATAATTTTGATGATTATGGCTTACAAGTTATGAAAACCCCAAAGTCAGCATTAGAATATTGTGAAAAGGTTTTCATAAGCTGTAAGCCATAATCATCAAAATTATAACAAATAAAGGCTTGAAATATCTCACTTTGCATGTAATGAGTCTATATAATATATTAGTTTCACCGTTTAAGTTGAATTACTGAAATAAATTAACTTTTGCACGATATAATTTTTTTTTGAGTTTCACCTGTATAGTGTATGCATTATATAGCAGAATATCTAAACAAGAGCCAATTATTTTAAAGAAATATAGCACAAACACACATATTTTCTAGTTCCTATAAGATTAACTGTAAACTGTCCATTTACATTTAATTTATTTTATTTTTTAACCTGTATTTAGTAAGTGCTAAATTTGGACCCAGTGTTTAGGATTGGCAGGTGTGTGTGTGTGTGTGTGAGAGTGTGTGTGTGTGCGTGTGTGTGTGCGTGTGTGTGTGTGTGTGTGTCTGACAGTGCTAAATTTGGACCCAGTGTGTAGGATTGTCAGGTGTGTGTGTGTGTGTGTGTGTGTGTGTGTGTGAGAGTGCGTGCGTGCGTGTGTGTGCGCGCGCGGTGTGTGTGCGCGTGTGTGTGGTTCGGGTAAACCCTAAGTTATGGGGACAAAAACATTTTTGGTCCCCATGAGGAGAACAGCCTATAAATCATATTAAATTATGTTTTTTAAAAATGCAGAATGTTTTCTGTGATGGGTCGGTTTAACTTTAGTGTAAGGGAATAGAATATACAGATCGTACAGTATAAAATCATTATGTCTAAGGAAAGTCCCCATAAAACATGGAAACCCAATGTGTGTGTGTGTGTGTTCTGACCTTCTGGCCTGTATTGAGCGATGATGGTTACAGTCTGTCCAGCATTCTTCAAGGCAGCTGCTGCTTGTTCATGTGTAGCTACCCGGAGATCCACTCCATTCACCTGAGAAACACACATCATTATATTACACATCATATCATTATATTACACATCATATCATTATATTACACATCTCACAGCCTGAACACATTACTGCTGCTAAACCAACACACCAGCGGAAGTGCTACACTGTTATCAATACTGCTGCATTAAGAAAGCAAATGAAATATTAACAATAACTTTTCTTTATACTGTGAATATTAGGCTCTTACCAAATTTAATTTCGATATATTTGCATTTGCATTTTCAGATACTTTGTATGCTGGCATGAACTAATCCAAACAGCTTTATAATAATAATAATATCATGACAATCAGCATATTTAGCAATATAATAAAAATTTACAATATGGGAGTCTAAAATGACTTCCATAAATACACACTACTGTAGGAAAGCTTGGAACGATAAGATTTTAAATGTTTTTGAAAGAAGACTCTTCTGCTGCATTTCTTTGATAAAAAAATACTGTAAAAATGGTAATATTGTTAAACATTATTAATGAAACATTATTAATTTAAAGAATTTCCAATTTGAAAATATTTTTTAATTTCTGAACTTTAAATGGGATATTAATATTATGATGATAAACATACTCCGCATTATAATAACTATGTACAATATTGATGTATAGGATTAATTTTTTTTGCAAAGAGCATTTGTTACACTATGCACTTCGTCTTTGATTGTCAGGTGTATATTTATGATACATGGGCAAAGATGAACAAAGATTCAGAATGTACGTATAGTTAATAATTAAACATTGATCTGCCATCATGGCTAGCATTAGCTGCAGTTTTCAGGCACATCATGGCTAGCATTAGCTGCAGTTTTCAGGCACATCATGGCTAGCATTAGCTGCAGTTGTCAGGCACATCATGGCTAGCATTAGCTGCAGCACATCATGGCTAGCATTAGCTGCAGGTGTCAGGCACATCATGGCTAGCATTAGCTGCAGTTGTCAAGCACATCATGGCTAGCATTAGCTGCAGTTTTCAGGCACATCATGGCTAGCATTAGCTGCAGTTGTCAGGCACATCATGGCTAGCATTAGCTGCAGTTGTCAAGCACATCATGGTTAGCATTAGCTGCAGTTGTCAGGCACATCATGGCTAGCATTAGCTGCAGTTGTCAAGCACATCATGGCTAGCATTAGCTGCAGTTGTCAAGCACATCATGGCTAGCATTAGCTGCAGTTGTCAAGCACATCATGGCTAGCATTCGCTGCAGTTGTCAAGCACATCATGGCTAGCATTAGCTGCAGTTGTCAGGCACATCATGGCTAGCATTAGCTGCAGTTGTCAAGCACATCATGGCTAGCATTAGCTGCAGTTGTCAGGCACATCATGGCTAGCATTGGCACATCATGGCTAGCATTAGCTGTAGTTGTCAGGCACATCATGGCTAGCATTAGCACATCATGGCTAGCATTAGCTGCAGTTGTCAGGCACATCATGGCTAGCATTAGCTGCAGCACATCATGGCTAGCATTAGCTGCAGGTGTCAGGCACATCATGGCTAGCATTAGCTGCAGTTGTCAAGCACATCATGGCTAGCATTAGCTGCAGTTTTCAGGCACATCATGGCTAGCATTAGCTGCAGTTGTCAGGCACATCATGGCTAGCATTAGCTGCAGTTGTCAAGCACATCATGGTTAGCATTAGCTGCAGTTTTCAGGCACATCATGGCTAGCATTAGCTGCAGTTGTCAAGCACATCATGGCTAGCATTAGCTGCAGTTGTCAAGCACATCATGGCTAGCATTAGCTGCAGTTGTCAAGCACATCATGGCTAGCATTCGCTGCAGTTGTCAAGCACATCATGGCTAGCATTAGCTGCAGTTGTCAGGCACATCATGGCTAGCATTAGCTGCAGTTGTCAAGCACATCATGGCTAGCATTAGCTGCAGTTGTCAGGCACATCATGGCTAGCATTGGCACATCATGGCTAGCATTAGCTGTAGTTGTCAGGCACATCATGGCTAGCATTAGCACATCATGGCTAGCATTAGCTGCAGTTGTCAAGCACATCATGGCTAGCATTAGCTGCAGTTGTCAAGCGCATCATGGCTAGCATTAGCTGCAGTTGTCAGGCACATCATGGCTAGCATTAGCACATCATGGCTAGCATTAGCTGCAGTTGTCAAGCACATCATGGCTAGCATTAGCTGCAGTTGTCAGGCACATCATGGCTAGCATTAGCACATCATGGCTAGCATTAGCTGCAGTTGTCAGGCACATCATGGCTAGCATTAGCTGCAGTTGTCAAGCACATCATGGCTAGCATTAGCTGCAGGTGTCAAGCACATCATGGCTAGCATTAGCAGCAGTTGTCAGGCACATCATGACTAGCATTAGCACATCATGGCTAGCATTAGCTGCAGTTGTCAGGCACATCATGGCTAGCATTAGCTGCAGTTGTCAAGCACATCATGACTAGCATTATCTGCAGGTGTCAAGCACATCATGGCTAGCATTAGCTGCAGTTGTCAAGCACATCATGGCTAGCATTAGCTGCAGTTGTCAGGCACATCATGGCTAGCATTAGCTGCAGCACATCATGGCTAGCATTAGCTGCAGGTGTCAGGCACATCATGGCTAGCATTAGCTGCAGTTGTCAAGCACATCATGGCTAGCATTAGCTGCAGTTGTCAGGCACATCATGGCTAGCATTAGCTGCAGCACATCATGGCTAGCATAAGCTGCAGGTGTCAGGCACATCATGGCTAGCATTAGCTGCAGCACATCATGGCTAGCATTAGCTGCAGGTGTCAGGCACATCATGGCTAGCATTAGCTGCAGGTGTCAGGCACATCATGGCTAGCATTAGCTGCAGGTGTCAGGCACATCATGGCTAGCATTAGCTGCAGGTGTCAGGCACATCATGGCTAGCATTAGCTGCAGGTGTCAGGCACATCATGGCTAGCATTAGCTGCAGTTGTCAAGCACATCATGGCTAGCATTAGCTGCAGTTGTCAGGCACATCATGGCTAGCATTAGCTGCAGCACATCATGGCTAGCATTAGCTGCAGGTGTCAGGCACATCATGGCTAGCATTAGCTGCAGCACATCATTGCTAGCATTAGCTGCAGGTGTCAGGCACATCATGGCTAGCATTAGCTGCAGGTGTCAGGCACATCATGGCTAGCATTAGCTGCAGGTGTCAGGCACATCATGGCTAGCATTAGCTGCAGTTTTCAGGCACATCATGGCTAGCATTAGCTGCAGGTGTCAGGCACATCATGGCTAGCATTAGCTGCAGGTGTCAGGCACATCATGGCTAGCATTAGCTGCAGGTGTCAGGCACATCATGGCACATCATGGCTAGCATTAGCTGCAGGTGTCAGGCACATCATGGCTAGCATTAGCTGCAGGTGTCAGGCACATCATGGCTAGCATTAGCTGCAGGTGTCAGGCACATCATGGCTAGCATTAGCTGCAGGTGTCAGGCACATCATGGCTAGCATTAGCTGCAGGTGTCAAGCACATCATGGCTAGCATTAGCTGCAGGTGTCAAGCACATCATGGCTAGCATTAGCTGCAGGTGTCAAGCACATCATGGCTAGCATTAGCTGCAGGTGTCAAGCACATCATGGCTAGCATTAGCTGCAGGTGTCAAGCACATCATGGCTAGCATTAGCTGCAGGTGTCAGGCACATCATGGTATTTTCTGTACTGTAATTCTACATTCAAAACATTTGACTGCAGCTGCTGTTGGAATCCCCAAAATGCAAAAGCATGAGATGATGTTGTTGATACATGAGTACGTGTGTGTGTGTGTGTGTGTGTGTGTGTGTGTGTGTGTTTGCATGTTCTCACACTCAAGATTTGATCTCCCTTGCGCAGTTCTCCGCTCAGGTCCGCAGGGCCTCCTGCCAGGATGAAAGAGATGAATATTCCCTCACCATCCTCTCCTCCAACAATATTAAACCCCAAACCCGTCGATCCTCTGTGGATCACAACACGCCTCGGGTCCCTAAGACACACGACAGAAGGGAAAGATATTACAAAGGAATTCCAGGATAATGGTAATAATCTTTGCCAGTAAAACACACATTACTTCACATATGATTTATCCTGTGCTGTCAGCCAGATATGGTACGTGAATCAATTTATTGATGCATTTATGCAAACAAGCATAACAGTTATTTATATAAATAATTATTTTTACACTATTGTTGATTTAGATACACAGCTGGCTTAGTCAAGTTTCAAAGCAGCTTTACTGAAAGTCACACTGTTATGTCTGTCACTTCTTCTGTAAATGCTTTTTCGGATATTATCTTTCATGTAGTGTGTAATATCGCTGTTTGTGAATGTAAAAGGTCTGCAAAGTTGCAAAGATCAAAGTTCAGATAAATGGAGTTAGTGTCTCCTAAAGGAAATAATTGATTCTGAACCGCCTGAAACGATTCGTCAATAATTCCTACATAACACATTTGCATTGTACATTTCACCTCCAAAATGAAATTAGGAACCTTTAAAATAGCCTAATAGGGGCACTTTAATGTCTTATATGTTACACTGAGCCATTTTAGGGCTGGGTTATATGACAATATATGATGATGATGATGATATAAATGATTAACCAGTTGAGATTTAGCTCGATTTAATTGATTATTTTCGGAAAAATTATGCAGATACATCTGTGCCACTTTGACATCTGGGCAAGACTGGCTGAAAATATTCACTACCGAGAGCAACGGAGAAAACGAATTTAGTGGGTTTTTATTGAGAAATATAAAAACCTAAATGTATGTTTTGGTATATGGCCAAAATTTCAGATCAGATTACTATATAATGAAATGTGCTGTATCATTAAAAAAAATGACTCCTTTTGTGGTATAAGATTTTGGTCATATCGTCCAGCTATAATTATCTTTATCTGGGAGCTGCGAGTAAGTTATTCCATGATCCTTTAGTCCTTTAGTCTGGCACTGAGCAAGCCCGAGGCGAGAGTGGCAGGGAATGAAATTAGATACGATACTTTTTCAGCTCTAATTATGAAGAGAAGCTGTGAAATTCTGCAGAATGGATTTAATGAAGGTATAATGCGTCAGACAGAGCTGATACTACACTCTTATTGTTAGTTTAAAGCGTTATCAAATTGATAAAAAAAAAATTACACATTTTGTGAGTGACAGGTGCTCCATCTGTGGCTGCAGATGAGCACATTATTTAGGAATGTTACAGAAACCCATAAATCATCTATTTAGGCTTTTGTTGTCCATTTTCTATGAAAAAGTCAGTCCTAGCTGCAAAGATATATATATATATATTAGTGCTGTCAAATGATTAAAATATTTAAATCGCGATTAATCGCACATTTTTATCTATCCTAAATGTCTCTTGATTTCTTTTTGTCCCATTCTTTTTTCTCATTTTAATGCTCTTATCAACATGGAAAAGTGGATCGGCTTGCTTTGTGCAAATGTTTTTTATTGAAAACAACATTGGCATATACTGTGTTCAATTTCACACTAACATTCTCACTTGGAGCAAATAATCTCTCAATGTAACAGTCCATCAATAAAAGGGTGAAAGAAATACTGACAAGGTCCTGATATTGACGAGGGGGCGGAGGATTCGCATCAGCTGTGTGTGTGTGTGTGTGTGTGTGTGTGTGTGCTTGGCCATCATCAAGTGGTATTTCTGACTAGACGTGCTGCGATGATGATAGCTCAGTTCACGTAAACTTTCCAAAAGTAAACTTTCGATTCAGAATCTTATTGGCATCCATTTCGGCGTCTCGCGCTCGTCATCCACTCATAACGTAACGTTAACCAACTATTTGGCCGACTCACAAGCCCAAACAAGTGTGTGCGTCGTGCCTGTTGTTTTGTTGCCGGTCTAGCTAGATCCGCTTGCGCTTTGGTCGACGAAGAACGTCCTCGCGCGGCGCAAGCCATTGAAATGAATAGGTTTCATTTCTTTTGCGTCCTGTTGCAAAAGCATGTGAAAAAAAACGACAAAGTTTGCTAGGCCAAAAAGGCCGTTAATCGCGCGATAAAAAAATTTACGCCGTTAAAATGGGTTTGCGTTAACGCCGTTAATAACGCGTTTAACTGACAGCCCTAATATATATATATATACTAGGGTTGTAACGGTACACGTATTCGTATCGAACCGTTCGGTACGAGGCTTTCGGTTCGGTTTTCGGTACGCATTTTCAAACCGAACGATTCGTTTGACCATTTTTCCTGCCGACCAAAATTTCGTTATTTCAAATGTAGGCGTGGCAAGCGCGCTCATAATGTAAGAGACGCTGGCGTGACCACAACATTGCCCAACATCAAATGGCAAATGTAATGTAAGCGGAATGAAACCACTCGTTATTGTGTGTTTGACGGACCGTTTATCAGTTTGGACCAATGCAGCGTGAGCCGATCTTAATCATCAGCACTGTTACTACACAGCCAAATCCAGTAAAGAAAGCATTTGAATTCACCACTGAAGTAATAACATCGCTGCGAGATCTAGTGAGAAGCATTCACATTTCTCCGTTATTAACGGATCAAACAGCGCTGACGTGGAAACCAGGAGAAACATTGTGCCGTGAATGAACTATCCAGTGTCCACAGATCAGCAACATTCATCATGGATTTACTGTAGTAGCACTACTAACTGTAACCATGGAAGTTTGGCAGGAATAGTCGGCTATAATGCTTTCAAGTAACATTAAGTCGGTTTTATTTTGACATTATGAATACAATTGCTGCCCTCAAATGTTAATCTGAACTAAAATAAACCTTTGTTTATAACTACTACAATATTACATTTCATTTTGTCCAAGGAGCTGTTCTGTTTTATAAGCTCCTAAGAAAAGTCAAGTATAGCTCCATCATTGCTCAAAGTAAAAAAATATCATACTTTATGATGTTAGTTTAAATAAAAATATAATGAAAAAAATTAAATCAAGGAAATTTCTCTGGCATTTCTTTCTTTTTTCTGTACCGAACCGTGACACAAGTGTATCGTATCGAACCGAACCGTGAGTTTTGTGAACCGTTACACCCCTAATATATACATATATTTATATTTGTGGATCTCATTTGAAGGATTAAGTTTTGATCATAAAGGGCCTTGTGCTTCAGAATTAACATGTTAAGTGAATAATACAATGAACCCTTTGGGATCAAAGCCATCCATTAATGTCACTAAATCGTCACCAGTTTAACAATGTAGCATCCAGCTTAACCTTCACATTTCTAAACTTTGGGGTATTTATTTGGTCTTAACTTGGAGAAACCAAACAGGAAGAGTTTACTGAGTTTTGTTAATAAATTCAAAACACTAAATCTATAAAGTTCAAAAGACAGTTTGGCAATACAATTCCTGCTTCTGTTTGCATCATAACTGCAAAATGAGTTGATTTTTAATCTCTACTGCCAATTTTATTTTATTTTTTATCCACCCAAGGTGATGAATAAAACTCATAAAAAAACAATAATAAAATAGTTAAAAAAAAATTATTGTAATGTGCAAGAACTGCTGAGTCATTAGCTTGCAGTTTTCCAGACAGCATTACCTGGGTAAGTCGTCATCTCCCATTAAGCCATGCAGCACAGGAGAAAAGCGGCTCGGTGAGGTGGGAGTGAGGGCTTGTGGGTAATCCGAGGCCAGGAAGTTCGGATGTCCAAGGTCCGCGTCCATATGCGGAGAGTACGCTGAGGGGTAAACACACAAAAATCACCATGTTGCCACAAAGGAGTGAGTTAAAGCTGGATTTACTAATGTTTACCATTCAATCTTGAAAAGATCATTTATTTAAAAAAAATGAGATATCCTCAAGCACAACTGTTTATTTTGCGGTGTTAAATCTGTAAAATAGTCAGCATTTCTGTGTTGCCTGTGTGTACTCACTGCTAGTGAGGTCTGGTGGGTTGTAGTTGTTGGTAAGGTACAGGTTATTTGGCTTTGCCACTCTGAGGTAGACGACCTCTGCTGTGTTCTTCAGCGCACCCACCGCATCCTCATGCATCACGTCCTCCAAACACACATTATTCACCTGCAGTTGACATTAGATGCAGAGACTGACGTTATGGAGCAAGTGTCCTTTGTGAAAAAGAAGTGCTCTTAAATGTTTCAAAGTGAACACTACAGATAGATTAACTGACTGCTTTTCTCATTTACTGTATTCCAATAAGCACAACCTGCCTGTAGTTCCACTTGTGACCAGCAAGTGGCAGCATTGAAGAGCCAGTGATTATGTGATGCACATTTACACATAGCCGGGTATTTAGAGAAATGAATATTTCCCCCCCTCCGTTTTCAATAATAACATCGTGCACACAACATCGTTTTCAAAAAAGTTGTCATTTACATCAACCCGCATAAATACGCCGTCAAGCGCCATCATAACTATGCCAAACTGGGCGCTCACGTGACGTTAAGCATTTTCTGGCGCATATGTGACGTTTGAGAACCTAAAACCCTGTTTCTCCCAGTTGACACGACAACACATCACCGGTGTTATCAGAAATCTCCACTTTGGCCAGAGTTTTTAGAAATAATCGTTTTCTGTGATAAAAACTGGGTTTTCGTGTAAATGAGAGGCCAAACCGCAGGGAAATATCTGCGTCTTCCCTTCGTGTAAACGGGGCATAAATCAATTACTCCAGTCTACCTTAAAGGGTTAGTTCACCCAAAAATTAAAATTATGTCATTAATGACTCGCCCTCATGTCGTCCCAAGCCCGTAAGACCTCCGTTCATCTTCAGAACACAGTTTAAGATATTTTAGATTTAGTCCGAGAGCTTTCTGTCCCTCCATTGAAAATGAATGTACGGTATACTGTCCTTGTCCAGAAAGGAAATAAAGACATCATCAAAGTAGTCCATGTGACATCAGTGGGTTAGTTAGAATGTGTTGAAGCATCGAAAATACATTTTGGTCCAAAAATAACAAAAACTACGACTTTATTCAGCATTGTATTGTCTTCCGGTTCTGTTGTGGATCCGCGTTCAGTGCCGCCGCTGACGTAAGACGCTGCTGACGTGTGTCTGGTGTGTGTGTGTGTGTGTATTCTGGTTCTGTTGTGGATCCGCGTTCAGTGCCGCGGCTGACGTAAGACGCTGCTGACGTGTGTCTGGTGTGTGTGTGTGTGTGTGTGTGTGTGTATTCTGGTTCTGTTGTGGATCCGCGTTCAGTGCCGCCGCTGACGTAAGACGCTGCTGACGTGTGTCTGGTGTGTGTGTGTGTGTGTGTGTGTGTGTGTGTATTCTGGTTCTGTTGTGGATCCGCGTTCAGTGCCGCCGCTGACGTAAGACGCTGCTGACGTGTGTCTGGTGTGTGTGTGTGTGTGTGTGTGTGTGTGTGTGTATTCTGGTTCTGTTGTGGATCCGCGTTCAGTGCCGCTGCTGACGTAAGACGCTGCTGACGTGTGTCTGGTGTGTGTGTCTGGTGTGTGTGTGTATTCTGGTTCTGTTGTGGATCCGCGTTCAGTGACGCCGCTGGCGTAAGACGCTGCTGACGTGTGTCTGGTGTGTGTGTGTGTGTGTGACGTAAGACGCTGCTGACGTGTGTCTGGTGCGCCCGAGCTTCGTTTACAGTCTGAGGGAGACGCACGCTGGAAACAAAACAATCTTCGCAAACATGTCTAAGGATTTCCACACAGAGGAAGACTTGCATTTTTTTGCCCAGCCATATTTATTTGAACCCGAATACACGGACGCACCAGACACACGTCAGCAGCGTCTTACGTCAGCGGCGGCACTGAACGCGGATCCACAACAGAACCAGAATACACACACACACACACACACACACACACACACACACACACACACCAGACACACGTCAGCAGCGTCTTACGTCAGCGGCGGCACTGAACGCGGATCCACAACAGAACCAGAATACACACACACACACACACACACACACACACACACACACCAGACACACGTCAGCAGCGTCTTACGTCAGCGGCGGCACTGAACGCGGATCCACAACAGAACCGGAAGACAATACAATGCTGAATAAAGTCCTAGTTTTTGCTATTTTTGGACCAAAATGTATTTTCGATGCTTCAAAACATTCTAACTAACCCACTGATGTCACATGGACTACTTTGATGATGTCTTTATTCCCTTTCTGGACAAGGACAGTATACCGTACATACATTTCCAATGGAGGGACAGAAAGCTCTCGGACTAAATCTAAAATATCTTAAACTGTGTTCTGAAGATGAACGGAGGTCTTACGGGCTTGGAACGACATGAGGGCGAGTCATTAATGACATAATTTTCATTTTTGGGTGAACTAACCCTTTAACACATGTGTATTAGTCCTCATCAATGATGCATGTGTCGTCTTACCGCCAGTATCTTATCACCGATCTGTAGTCGTCCGTCCTTATGAGCCGCCCCTCCCTCGATGATCTTTGTGACATAAATGCTGTTGTCACCGGGGATGTGCTGGTTACCGACACCACCCGCTATACTAAAGCCTAGCCCTGAGAGAGAAATGCAACGTGCAAGAAAACTTTCAATTCATTTGTTAAAAAGATGCACTTGGACACTTTTTTTGACAGTTGCAGAACAACTTAATAATGGGTGATAATATTCTAAAATCGTAAATATTCTTTGTATTGCTAGCGCTTCTTGTGTTATTGCCTCCTTAAGATGAGTCGCTCTGTTGTATTCCTCATTTTCAAGTTGCTTTGGATAAAAGCGTCTGCTAAATGAATAAATGTACATTATAAATAGATCCATAAATAGAGTATCTGGTAAAGAAAACTTTAGCTTTTGTGTGATGCTGCATCCACCCCAGCACAACATCAAACCAAAGATACAGTAACACAATCGTGTGGTACTAGCCTGGGAAAACCCAGACAACTGCCGGCAAATTTAGATTTGCTCTGAAAGTTAGTCTGGCAAAGAGCTCATTCAAGCCCATTTCCAATCCGTCGAAATCGAGGCACCAATCAGAAACGTTGGGGCGGGCTTTACACGATGACGACAGCGCTGGGATTTTGAAGCAGATTTTGTAGCCTACATTACAAAGATGGATGCCGCCGTCGAACATCACTCGTTCCAATCAGCTATCGCGTCTGTTTTAAGCCATTTGAACGTTTCCTTTTTGTTAAAAACCGAGCAAAGAACAACACTCGGAGATGTTTCTCCGCCGCTCTGCGTACGTCATCTCCTTCACCGCTCTGATTGGGTTTAGGTCTATCCGCGACGTCCGTTGGTGACGCCCCTCTGGAAATGATTTGTCTATGACGCTTTGCCAGACCATAACTCAGTTACAACTGAGAATGGTCTGGTTTTAACCAGGCAAGTGTGGTACATCTTTAGTACCGTAAAACTTCAAATAATAGCCGAGCCCCAAATAGAAGCCTGTCTCTTTTACACGCCTGGTGTGGCTGCAGGTTTGGGTAAATAAAGGCCGGTCTGTTTTTTAGTTTCGCTCGGGTTGTATTTAATCCTCTAAAACCGCCAGATCGCCCGCTTTTTGGCGGCCGCCAAAGCACATTTTTGTCCCTCCAAAGCCTTTTTTTGATCGGTGAGTGATGTAGAATGACTGCTGCGCTTGACAGGGCGCGCGAGCTGAGAGAGAGAGAGAGCCCCGGCCGCGCGCGCGCACTCTCCCGTCTTCAAACAACACGAGCGCTGTCTTGCTCTCTCTCCCTCGCGCATATTAATCAAAATCAATTGACGCGACACGATAGTAAAAGCTCGGAAGACCGCAGTTTCACGTGGAGCATTTGGAGATTTTTAGAGATTAGAGACAGGCCTATACACTCAATGAACAACATCTCAACAAAATTATAAAGGCCTGTCTCATATAGACCCCTGTCTCAAATACACGCCGGTGCAGTTCGACGATTTGGGTAAATAAAAGCCCGGGCTACTATTTGAAGTTTTACGGTACTCAAATACGTTTTATTGTCCATACCTTTTGGCCCTTTGATGAGCTTGAGTTCGGTGACTTTCTCAGCGATGGGTTTCCTGCGTAATACATAGAGTCTGACGATAGCGCCCGCCTCTTTGAGGGCCTCCACTGCCTGACTGTGGGTCACCTCCCGAACATCAACGTCATTCACAAACAGAATACTGTCATTTACTCTGAGAGAGAGAGAGAGAGAGAGAGAGAGAGAGAGAGAGAGAGAGAGAGAGAGAGAGAGAGAGAGAGAGAGAGAGAGAGAGAGAGAGAGAGAGAGAGAGAGAGAGAGAGAGAGAGAGAGAGAGAGAGAGAGAGAGAGAGAGAGAGAGAGAGAGAGAGAGAGAGAGAAATGGGTAGAGGTAAGGAAAATAAATTATTAAGGCAGTTCTCCCATCAGAACTCACACGTGTCAGAAGCTGCTAGAGCTCAGCTATAAATTAACCTTTGAACTGACAGCTGTCAAAAAAGTCACAAAACTTCATTCTTTTCTCCATAGGGACATTGATATTTGCAGATGTCTTATAAACCTTTAAAGACAGCCCTGGTTTTGCGCTCCGAGGTTGTTAATCAATGGGATTTGCTTCTGTTTAAGCTGTCAGCTGCATTTTTTTCTTATTTTTAAAAGAAATCATGTATGACAGCCCTTTTTTATTGTGAAAAATTACATTGAGTTCAAAGTTCAAGTTCAAAGTTTTATTGCCATTTGCACAGGTACGTTACAGTACAGCTACATTGGAATTCTTGTGCGTTTCTCAGAGTCAGGTTTTAGATTTAAAAAGAATACATATATACATATACACAAACACACACACATACACATCTTAAGGTAGAGCAAAGAGCAACAAAACATATTTTAAAAAAAATGCAAAAACTGTATATAAATAACCTTTCCTAAATAGATACACATTATAATAAATAGTAATAATATTGCACGTACAAAAGAAATACTCTGAATAGAATTAAATACTCTTACACTAATCATTACAATGTTTAAAAACATGGAATGAGGTACTTTTTGCCCTCCTTAATGTCCTGTGCCACTAGCCTAACAGTGGCCGGAAAGAAGCTGTTAAACAGACGGGCCTTGTGGGTACTAATGCTCACAGGCCTGCGGTGTCTCAGGTTATAGCCCGAGTCCACCCATTTAAACAAAGGATACTATTACCCATAGGGTTGCCAACTGTCCCGAATTAGCCGGGACATTCTGTATTTTGGGCCTGATTTATTTGTCCCGTACGGGACCTCCCTTGTCCCGATTAAATAAGACTGCTACGCTGATCTGACCACTGAGCGATGCAACAGAAACACGACACCGGTCATCATCCAATCACAGCCCACACTCACGCCCATCAGACCATACCAATAACAAACTCTACATTGAGAATGAATTATTCTTTTGGGACAAATCATTGCGAACAGAATCCTCTGCTGTCTGGTCGCTCCCGGTTCGATCCGGACTCGCGCTAACGGCAAATCCCTGTCACTGTCCGGCCGGGTTTTGATTTCGGCAAATCAGTTTTGGCGAATTCAAACAACGTGATTATTGTTCAAAAGTCCAACATCCGGCCACGCAAGAAAACATGAAATCTTCCTGAGGGAATAATATGCTGACGTGATTTACTACCCAAGAAACATTTCTGATTATTATTAATGTTTAAAAAAAAAAAAAAGTCAGGATTCTTTGATGAATAGAAGGTTGAAAGTAGATTTATCCAAAATAAAAAAGGATTTTGTAACATTATTAATGTCTTTATTGTCACTTTTGATTACTTTAATGCGTCCTTGCTGAATAAAAGTAGCCTATTTCTTTCATTTCTTTCAAATGTAGTGTATAATGTTACAAAAGCTTTCTATTTTAGATAAATGCTATTATTTTGAACTATGGTTTGTGTGACCTTAAAATTCGTTTTAGAATTGTACATGAATAGGTAAAGCAAAACAAATGTGTTTATGTCTGAGAACCCTTTAAACACACACAAACCTGAAATGACAGTGTGATAGGCTACAGTACAAATATTTTCTTTACATTTTCCTGTAAAGAACCACGATTGTCCTGCATTTTTCTTTTCTGAAGTTGGCAACCCTAATTACCCATGATGCTGTAGAGAAAATTCCACCAATCAGAGAATCACTGCGAGCAACAACAGCCCAAAAATACTTGCAAAAAAGCTGCCATGATTATATATATATTTCTTGCAACAAACTAAAAATATATACTTTTTATAGATATAATCAACAACTCAAAATATCAAATGTATAATTTTATATTTCTCCATATATTTTAATTCTTGTTTTTTAATGTTGTGATTCACCTCGTAGATGTTTGGTTTGGTTCATGGCTTATAAAGCTTTTAACAAAGACATTTTTAAAACTCCCAATGGAGAAAAACTGTGTGGGCACTAACGCACTCCATTATTTTTACTATTATAAAATTAAAAATTACGTTTATTAATTTTTTTCTTTCCATTTAGACATGATCTGGCAACTCCGGCATACAGAACAACCTCCAGGATCTTATGTGCAAATTATATTATGTTTAAATTGACCGTGTAGAGAGATTTTATTCCTTACAGAAGACACAACCGTCCGGCAAATACACACAGTGTTTACACAGACTTACTAAAGCCGCACTCTGAGGCAATAGAAATGTATTTACACAGAAAAAAATTGTCTGAAATTTGGCCATTTTGAGATTATGGACATCAGGCAAGAGCCATGTCCGTTGGCTGACTGTCAGAAGCGTTCACTTTCTCCTTGATTCAGCTCCAGAATCATATAACAGACTTCTCAACGTATAAACAAGTTCTGTTTTCAACTGGTTTCAGAATATTTTGTCTTTCTGCCGAAAACTGAAAACTTTTTCAGAGGCTGAAACTCTGGCAGTTTAAACGTTTAATGGAATAAGTGTATTTTGATATTTCTTTTATTTTTGCCAAGCTGTGCCAAGTTTTGCATTATCTTAGGCCGCATTTACACTGCAGGTCTTGATGCCCAGTTCCGATTTGTTGAATATATCAATTTTTTGGACGACCAGTTTACATCTTTTAAAAGTGACCCATATCCGATATCTGCATTTACACTATACACTTGGCGAAACAACCCAAGGTAGACGAACTGATCTGGAAAAGCTAAGGCAGAAAAGGAAGTAAAAACGGAGCGATTAGCAATGGAAACAGACGAAATGATAATACATGATATCATCTTTAAAGGTCAGCCAAACACTGGGTTAAGCATTCGTCCTCCATTGAGCCATTGAAAAGAGTCATGTGATCACGGTTGGTGTCCATCATTCACTGCACAAAACAATTGAAAATGTTATCTTGAAAGTGCAATCTATTAAATGCAATGTACAAATCATTGATATCAATATCATTAACCATATAAAGCCTATTGTATCATATTTATTATATAAAAAAAGATCTAAAACTGATCAACACGATAAAAACTTTGCTGAAAAACCTGTTGTACACAATCTGGTACATGCCTTCTGTCGTTTGATATTTCATACTTTATTTAGATTTACCTTTTTAGCAAGCAAAAGCCTATTAGTATAATGTATAGACATTTACTGGACTGAGGAAACTTAGGTTTGCTTTAATTATCCATAAATCTTTTTTTTTTTAAATCATGTAAAACAAAATGAGTATCAAGTATGATACATCAGAGGTTTATTTGTTAATCTCTCAATCATTGTATTGCATGTTGGCCATATAAATATCAGCATCTGCAACAAATTACATATTGTTGATCAGTTTGGGCTTTCTTTTCCTTCGAGTATGAGCTTCATATTCTCACTATATGAGCCAAAAAAACTCACGCATCAAACGTGACAAAAGCAAACAAACTTTAAAAAATATATTTTGTATAAAGGTTCAATAAACTGGAATCATGTTTATGGCATTACCGGTGACTAAAGGACAGTAGACTGCTATTTTTTCAAGCAGAGCATTTTTTTTCACAGAGCTCAACACCATCTGACAAAAGACATTTCACTGAAACGGACAACTCGACAAAACACGACAGATATTCCTTAGCTTTCAGAAGTGCAAATGCAGCACTAGCTGTGCTGTCACCCAGAAACATGAAGAGAGAGAGAGAGGGAATACGTGCCGTCGGGATGACTGACTGTCAATAGACCTTTCTGGCCCATAAATATTCATAATTAAGCACACTCATTAATACTGACCACCAAGTAAGATAGTAGAAAAACAGTCTGACAAGGTCACGGCATCTCGAAGAAACAATGCTGAATGCAAATGCAACTTCAATTTAGGTTAGATCGGTTCAATATGCAAATAGGCTTTTAAAAGGGAGAAGAAAATGCTTTTTGTTGATGACAAAAGCTGTATGTATAATCAAATGCTGTGGTATTTTGACCCAAATTCATCTGAATCTAGTCCAATTAAACAGACACTGACAGAGACCTTACAAACTACACTAGTGACCAAGAGCACCACATATTATAAACCACATATTACTTTGCATCACCTCTTGCTACTCAATCGTATTCCCAGCATGTATATTACTTTTAGTCTGTTAACGCACTGTATAAATATCATGTTAAATTTGCGGTAAAAGTTTGGATGGCATATTGATTCTTCCTGTATATTTTACAACTTGTAATCATGCATTTCATTAACTGATTTAATGTTAAATTCCAAAGTAGACTTTATACCTTAAAATGTACTGATAACCAATATAATAATACAGGCGGTACAGTAGAAAGCCACATGATGAATCAGAGTGGCCTATCCATAAAATATGACCAATAGTCAAAGATCGCCGGTGAACGTGACCATATACACAAAGACAGAACACCATCAGGATACAATAATGCAATGAACTTTAACTAAATAACAGAATATGGAACACAAAACAATGTAGATTACTGATAACAAAAATAATCAAATTAAAAAACGATTTAAAGAAAATCTTCATGCAGGGACTTCTGTTAATGTACTGTTTTCCCCCATTAATTATATGGTAATTCATTATTTATACTTGCAATTGTTTTTATTTTAGAGCAAAAATTACTTATAATGTGAGTTTTAAAGTTAAAGAAACCCATTTTCACTGTTCACCATTTTCATTTGATAAAGTTAATCAATTAACATGTTTTTACTATAGCATTTTTAAGCATTAAGCATTTTAACATATTAGTTTCCGTTTTCTGTGAAACAC